AGTCCAAGTGGGTCGAGGCCTCTCATCCTCTTCTGGGGCCTGCCCAAGGGTATAGTTGAAAGTGCATTCGACCAAAAAGTATGCCAATGCTTGTGCTTTTGTTACGGGCTTCAACTGGTAGTGTAAGTCAAACTCAAACAACTCGATGGCCCACTTGGTTAGCTGACTCGAGGTCTCTAGTTTGGAGAGTACTAACTTGAGAGGTTGGTTGGTCAATATTGAGATGCTATAAGCCTAGAAGTAGGGCCTTAGTTTCCTGGCCGAGACTACCAACGCGAAAGTTATCTTCTCCACTTTCTGGGTACCTGGTCTCAACATCATAGAGGACCTTACTCACAAAATATACCGGCCTTTGAATCCTTCGTCTTCCCGTACCATAACTGAGCTAACAGCCTCGTCCCTAGCCGAGAGGTATAAGAACAAGGTCTCTCCCGGGATGGGCTGCGTGAGTAGAGGAGGCAACGTGAGGTAGGACTTCAATTCTTCAAAGGCTTTCTCACACTCTTTGGTCCATTAGAAGTCCTTCAACTTCTTGATAGCTTGGAAGAAAGGTATGCAGCGATCGACTGAGGGCTGCAATTCGTCCAGTGAGCCTCTAAGTTTCTTTGATGGATCGATGAGGCTCTATGTCAAGTATGGCTTATATTTTTTTGGGGTTGGCCTCTATGCCTCATTAAGTGACCACGGAGCCTAGAAACTTTCCCGAGGTGACGCCGAAGGCACATTTGCTGGGGTTCAACTTCATGTTGTACTTCCTTAGCACCCCAAAGGTCTCGCCAAGGTCCGAGGTGTGTTAGCTTGCCTTCAGGCTTTTCACCACCATATCATCAACAAAGGCCTTGACGTTCCTCCCCATCTAGTCCTTGAATATCCTGTTCACCAGCCGTTGGAAGGTGGCCCCAGTGTTCTTCAATCCAAAAGGCATTACTTTGTTGCAGTAAGTGTTGTGCTCGGTGATGAATGAAGTCTTCTCTTCGTTACCAGGGTGCATCTTGATCTGGTTGTACCTAGAGAAAGTGTCCATGAAGCTTAGCAACTCGTACCTTATGGTGGCATCAACGAAGTGATCAATCCTTAGCAAAGGAAAGTTGTCTTTGAGGCAGGCCTTGTTGATATCTCTCGGATGAAGTCAGCATCGAGTAGTTTATCCACCTCCTCTCTGATGGCTTTCCAATGCTCCAATGCAAAGTTCTTCTTTTGTTGAACTAGCCTACAACTCGGGTCCACGCTTAGCCTATGAGTAATGACCAAGGGGTCAATTCCTAACATATCAATGGCAAACCAATCAAAGATGTCGGCATTAGTTTTAAGGAGCTTACCCGTTCGGAAAGTATGTCTTGATGGAGGCGTGACTCCACTCATAACATCTTCTTGGGCTCGACCTCATCTAGGGGAACAGAGATGAGGTCCTCAGCCAACTAGCCTCAACTCACTGGTTCATCCCTGAGGTTGAGCCCTTCCAATGGTAAGGCTTCTTTGTTCTTGCCTTGTAGTGCTACAACATAGCACTGTCTAGTAGCTTGCTACCTCCCCTTAACTACTCCTACGCCATGCTCGGTGGGGAACTTCATGGTGAGGTGATAAGACGAGATGGCCACCTTGAGTGCATGAAGGGTCAGCCTCCCTATGATGGCATTATATGGGGAGCCTATCTTCACGACAAAAAACTCGGTCTTCTAGGTGACTTGCCGAGGCTCGATCGCTACTGTGAATGGTAAGGTTATCTTCCCTTCGGGCTTGATGGCTGCTCTAGAGAACCTGACTAGTGGCATGTCCACAGGTTCAGCCAATCTAGAGTCAGCTACATCTTTTCATATGTGTTATAGAATAAGATGTCAGTCGAGGAGCCGCTGTCTACGAGAAAGAGATGGAGTCTTCTGGCCTCGACCTTTTAGGCGTTAGGCTCTAGATGTTGTATTGCCTAGCATATGCCTTCCGAGTCGAGGCGGATGCTCTACCCAAGGCCAAGCCCCCAATGATGACTTCAATAATTCTAGCTAGCGGGTGATGGGCATGGTGCCCGGCCTATTACTGTTTTTACAAGGACAAGGCACCTATGTTGCCCCCGACATACTCCTTCAGGTGCCCTTGGCGGATGAGGGACTCGATCTCATTCTTGAGTTCATAGCAGTCCTCGGTATTATGGCTAGTGCCGCGGTGGTACTTGTAGTACTTCTTGGGGTTACCTCTTTTAGGGTTCCTTTTCAGCTTGGCTAGTCACTTCACATATTCCCCCTTCCCTAGTTGCATTAGTATATGTGTTCGGGTGAAGTTTAGTGATGTGTATTTGTTGAAGGAAGGGGTCGACGGCTTTCTCTCACTATCTTTGCTGGTGCGGCCATTACTACGGCCATCCCTGTCCTTCCTCTTCTTGTTAGTGGCCCCTCGGTTGGTCTCGGTTTCTGGTTCCTAGAGGCACTTGTTGCCTTCGGCCTCCTCGGCAGCAATGTACTTTTGAACTTTCTTTAAAAACTTAGCTTTATTCTTGGAGTCTTGGAGATGGACCGGCTCAGGGGTTCGGGCCGAAGGCTGCTGATGGCCGCGTGCATAGAAACCGAGGGGTCAAGATCCCTTACTTCAAGCTCTTCTCGGTTGAATCAGTCAATGTACGTGTGAAGGCTTTCCTCACGCTTCTACTTGACAGACATTAGGGAAACGGCGGTCTTTTGGCACCGTCGACTACTGATGAAGTGGGAGAAAAAGAGATCTGTAAACTGGTCCCAAGAGTTGACGGACCAAGGGGGGAGTGTGGAGAGCCATCTGCGCGTTGCTCCCTTGGAGGTGGCTTGGATGGATCGGCACATCAGGGCATCGAGTACCCGTAAAGGAGCATGAGGGCTTTGAAGCTTTCCAAGTAGTCATCTGGATTTGTGCTCCCATCATAGGTCTGCACCTAAAGGTTACCGAGATGTCAAGCAATCGAGGCCTCAACCTAGTCTAGGTTCTCTTTCACATGGGATGGGATGGGTTGGCCTTGTTCCCGAGGTGCTCGGATGTTGGTACATCTTGAGCCTTACGAGCTCAACGATCATTAAGGAGATCGCGAAGGTCAGATACTTGTGCGTGAGAAGTGTAAAGTCGGCCTCCAACCCTTGGACGAGGACTGTAGTGGTCTGAGTGCCCGCCATCATCTTGGTTGCTCTTCGTGTGGCGATGGTGGCGATCGTGGTCCCTATGGTTGTTGTGGAACCCCACAGGTTCGCCTCTCCGGCTGGGGAGCCAAGAGATCTTTGACGGGGGCTTTCTAGCCCGTCAGCTGCTACTATTGGATGCTAAGGGATCAACCGTACCCTAGCCAATCAAACGTTGGCCCAGTGGTGCATGGGTGGATTGTCCACTATATTGTCCCTAGCTTCCGACGGGGCAGCCACCCTGCGGGCAACCTCCTGTTGGACACTCTACCTCATCCAACCAATGGGCTAGGTTGTCCACCTTGTGTAGGACTAGCTTGAATTGGTCCATTGTGACTAGGTTCTGAGCATTAGGAGTGTTGTCCTGCTCACCAGCTATATTGGAAACTTGATGGATTAAGTTATGTTGTTTTTAGAGGGTATTCTTGAACACATTCCCATAGATGGTGCCAATTTTTGCTGCCAAATATGAGGCCAAGGGCAACAAGGTGATTTCACTAGTGTCCGATGCCGATAGGTCCAATTTGTAAATAGGAGAAAAGCACACGTTAGAGGCCCCAGTTGTTATCCCAAGGACGGAGATTCCAACGGTCAAGTTAGCCAAGTGCTTAAAGAGGGGTTAGACCAGACAAGAGACAAGAGCTCAGAATGGTTCTTTTTTGGATGCTTACCTTGAGGTGAGTGCCCCCTTTTATAACTAACCTTGCCTTAGGAGTGGTTGGAAGTCATTGGTGATGTGCGACCAAACTTTGATCTGGCCAACGCCACGTGGTGTGATCTAAGGCCCGCCAAGTATCCCTACATCAGTGTTGTTCTAATAGATTGATCAATCAATCTCTATTTAGATAATTTGTTACACAATTCTCTACAACTCCTCAATGTGAAGGAAATTCTAAAAGTAAAGTTAACTTCTTTCAAGTTTCTTTAATATGTTTAGTTTTAGCATATGTTTTACTAGAAATAAGGTAGTAGTTTACTATAAAATAAAAAGCTATATTATGCCCACCATTTCATAATTCATTGCTTTTTAAATTAGAGATCCAATTTATTTTCAACCTCTACTATGAAACTAAATGATGATGTCGAATTACCTTTTTTATGTTAGATGGTGAATTACTTCACTCATTGCTATAACCATTCTCTAATATATAATTTTCTTTCATCTTTGTAAATGATCATTTTTTGTCTTTAACTTTACCTAAAAATTATTTAATGGTCTTTATTTGCCAAATGTTGCCTCCACATGCTTGAATTATGGGATTTCATATTATATAAATGAAGCCTAACCTCCTTAGAAAATCTTTTTCTTGTGTAAAAGGTTCTTGCTTGCATTTTACTACTTTTTTCCATTAAGTTATGCTTGGTATTAATAGAAAGTAAGAATAGAAAAGGGCTAACATGGCCACATGTTACCTTTTAAAAAAATGATTGGAACAAATTGGCATATTAATTAGTTGATTTTTGTTGTTTATTTTTCTTAAAAAATGGAACAACTTCCTAGTGGAATAAATAATGAAGAGTGTAATGAGAAGAACACTCTACTTGATGAGGGTTTAGAAGTTGTATGTAGTGTTACACATAAGCTTGATTTTGATATGAAAGGAAGTTGCACTAGCCCTTTAAATGCAAATTTCTCACAACCAAGCAATGAAACAGATGTAAACCAAAACTTTGGAAGATGCTTACCATTTATATAATGTGTTTGCTAGAAATGATGGTTTTAGTGTGCGGATATTGAAGGGGTAAAAGCTAAAATCTAGTATTTGGAGACAAACATTTTGTTGTTCTCATTAAGGCTTTCATGGTAATGATAAAAGGCAAATTGATGCAAAATTTTGTTGTGACATAACAAGAACGAGTTGTGGAGTAATGGTTAAGCTTGTAATGCAAGAAAATGGAAAATATTATTTAACTGAATTTGAAAGAGGTCATAATCATCAACTTGTTACTCCAAGCAAATCATGCATGCTTAGGTCACAAAGGAAAACAACAATAGCTCAAGCCGATCTTGCTAGTGGTTCTAGTATACGTCCTAAGGAAACATTAGAGTTTATGGGTAGACAACCTGGTGGAATTCAGAATCTTGGTTTGACTAATGAAGGTGCAAGAGCTATGGTAAGGTATTTCGATAAATTGCATGATGAGAATATATCATCCTTTCACTTGGTGCAACTTGACGAAGATAATCAAATTACAAACATCTTTTGGGTTGATGCAAAGGTGTTGGTTGATTATGATTATTTTGGAGATATCATTTATTTTGATACCACTTTTCAAACAAATGAGGATAAACGAGCATTTGCTCCTTTTGTGAGAGTTAACCATCATAATAAAACCACCTTTTTTGGAGCCGCATTGATGTATGATCAAAGTATTGAATCTTTTAAGTGGGTGATCCAATCTTTTCTAAGGGCAATATCTAAGAAGCAACCAAAAACAATTCTTACAGACCAAGATCCAGCAATGACAAATGCAATAAAGCAAATCTTTCCAAAAACATGTCATCGTTTATGTATATGGCATATATATCAAAATGCAATCCAACATTTGAGTAATGTATTTGTTGCTTCTTCATCCTTTGATAGAGACTTTAGTAATTGCATCTATGGCCATGAAGATGAAGATGGGTTTCTTACTACATGACATGAGATGTTGGAAAAATACAAATTGAAAGAAAACACTTGACTTCAAAGATTATTTCAAATAAATGAGAATAGTATGTTGAGAGGGTATTTGAAATCATCTCTTGATTTAGCTGAATTTTTTAAGCATTTTGAGCGGAATGTAGTAGATCAATGTTTAAAAGAAATGGAAATGGAGGTAAAGATGAACCAAAGTACACCCCACTTGTCTTTTCTAATAAAGATATTATGGGCTTCTTCTATATAGATTCCTGCAATATTCTGGGAATTTGAAAAGGAATATTGAATGGCCCTTAATTGTAATATTGTAAGTAAAGTCATGGTTGGAACAACAATTGTATGCAAAGTGAAGTATTGCAATAAACTTCGTGAGCATATTGTTACATTTGACCCATCAAACATAGTGGTTGTATGCAATTGCAAGAAGTTTGAGTTTGTGGGATTTTTATGTGTATATGCACTGTGTTGTTGTAGAAAGATTGTTAAAACAAGTTCCATCACAGTATAATTTGAAAAAATGGACACAGGTTTCAAAGGATGGAGTTAGTTTTGATTATTGTGGACATCTAATTAAGGTTGATCCTAGTGCTGGATTTTCCACGATACTTACTGAGCTAATGAGAGTATGTAGAGAAATATCAACACATGCTACAGAAGATAGAAGGGCATTCTCATATTTATTAAATGCATTTCATAATGCACGCACAGGAGTGAAAGATATATTGAAGAAAAGGTTTTTGGATTTTGAATCTTCTAATGTGAATGAAATGGAAATATATAGGGAGACAATGAAGGAAAATGATGGGGAGCCATTAAAGTATGGTAACATTGAAGTAAAAGGATTAGCAAATAAAGCATCAAGTGTTCTTGGGACAAATAGTGATAATGTGCAAAAAAAAATTGTTTGGAAAAATGAAAGAAAAGAAAAAGGACAATCTCAACATGATGTATGATATTTATTTTTTATATATTTTTTGAATCTTAAACTAATTCATATTATTTACTTGGTTTGTTTTATTACTTGTTAGGAATCATATCAAGGTGCCAAGGAAAAAAAGGTTGTTGGAAAAGATAAGAGAGGCAAAAAGTCTCAACATAATGTTGTATATTCTTTTATTATTTTGATACTTTTAACTGAATTTTAAACTCATACATATTATTTACTTTGTTTATTTTATTGCTTGTTAGAAATCACATGAAGGAACCAAGGAAAAAAAGGTTGTTAGAAAAAGATAAAATAATTAAAAAAATGCATCTTTAAGGATAATCTTTCTTAGCTTTAAGTAATTTGATGATAATTTCTTTGTATTTTGGTGATGTTACTAAATAGGGTTCATATGATGTCACTACTACCGTGGCTATTAATCCTAATATACCACACATGCTTAATCTGAATCACTTGACTTATATGTACCAACCACAGTTACTAAATGTCAATTTTCACCAAATGAACTTGCATAGAAGTTGGTTACAAATAATTAATTAATTGACTGATTATTTTTCTATGTTTTTAATATTTATTTCTAACTCCACTTACATTCTTTTATGCTTCACTAACTCCAAGAGTTTTGCAAAGAGAGTTTGTAACTGAAAATACACAGTTGGATTAGGTTAGTATATTAAAAATCATTGTACATGCGCACTTGAAAATAGCACTAACAAATATATTTTGTATAGGAATCCTCAAATGCTAACATCTACATAAAGAATTTAACTACAACTAATGTTGACCAACATGAGAAACCACCTTCATCTTAAAATTCATGAAACAGGTTAATAAATTTACTATTTTTTATGTGAATGTCAATTACTAATAAATTTGATGCCCAAACCTTTTCAAGTAGATGTAGAAAGAATTTGTCAAGACCATTGAAAAAGCATCAAATTTTCAAAATCCCCAAGGCCTATATAGATTATTAATATATTTACTATTCTGTCTTTCAAGATCTCACCACTACAAGAGGAATTGTGCCAAGAGGAAGAAGAAAAATTAAAGACATATGAGCAAGTTGTAGGAGATGGATTTGAACTTCCATCATCTCTTTTCCAAAGAGATAAACAAAAAAAAAAAAAAAAATCCATGATTCAATTGTGTACTTTCTTTTGATTATTGTTCTCTCTCTCTCTCTCTCTTTGGGGAGGGGGGGATAATGGATTATTTTAGAGCATTTGGAGTTAGAAAAGTTTACATCATATCTGTAACTTTACAATTGTTATGTAAATTAAAGATACCAAGATGCAAAAGCTAATTGGTAGTTTGTTCCTTTTAAAGTCTAAAAATTGAACTTAGTATGGAATGGCATCATAATTGGATTTACATGATTATCTACGAGTCTATGATTGCGATCCCTCTCCCTCTGTAGCTTGACACGAAGCTAAATATTCCTTCTCATCTATACAAACATCAATAGATACAATCATACAAATAGCAATCTATAGATGAATATTCCTTCTCATCAATGCATAATTATGATACAAATAACAATCTATAGATGAATATTCCTTCCCTCCCCCTCCCTTAGGAATGAAATCCCATTCCAACTCCTATCTGAACCAAATAGACTATGGGAATAGACTATTATGATTCCGACATTTTGATTCTGATTCCAATTCTAATTGTGAATTAAATGGACCCTAAATTTGATCAATGTGTATGGTTAATGCTTCTAACAAACAATGCATGTGTTGTTTAATGCTTGGTAGGGCTAACAATTATCTATGTTTGAACTTGAACATTCTATAAGCTTGAGCGATATAAAATTTATGTAGTGTCAAGAACTAAATAATCTTAGTTGAGAGAATTCTTCAAGCCTTTAACACCAAAACAACAATGAACTGCCTTAAACTATACATCACTTGATCACATTAAACCAAATGGTATAAAGAGGGTTAGAACCTATTTATAAGCAAAATCTCATGATGGCAAACAGTAAAGCAACCCAATTATCAGCAAAGTCTTGAACATCGCTCATTAACATTTGAAACGAGCTAAAAAAAATCATAAATGAATTAAAACCTAGAAGCAAAAACAATACATGATCGATCCAAAAAGTAATAACAATATTAGATCTTTAAACCAAAAAGAAAATAGTTTAGAGAAACAAAACAATCATTTAAAGTTTCAAGGCTTAATCTAAACTAAAATTGATATTAGGTTTTTCCTGCTTCTTACGAAGTTTGTGTGACCCACAATCTGAAGACCTCAATTAAAACACCAAATGCATTGAGAAATCAACAGGTGTATCATATCTGTCCTCCAAGATTTTCAATAAACTATAAATTTTTGGAGACTGATTGAACAACCCAAAAAATAATTTGAACCCATAAAAATTATTATGAACCTTCTTTTAATATCGAGGGCTATTTGAGAAGACAAAAAGTAAGACTTAGAGTTGTTGAAGTAATTTGTATCTCTCTTGTGAAGATAGCAATGGACGATTTATGTCCTGAAAAACTTATTAATGGCATTCCACACCATTGAACAATTTATTAAGTTAAAGAATATAAAAAAAAGGTCTAGCTACACAAGTTTGTAGGGTGCGGTGGAGAGGAGGTGGGAGAGAGAGAGAGAGGAGGGGAAGAATGTGAATTGGGTTAGCGGAAAGAGTTACCGTGGCTGTTAATCCTGTTACTCTTATAGAAGTGTAGGGTTACGTGTCATGTGGAGAGCATTCTCCAACAGCCCAGGTTGTTGGGCCAAAGTTTTCTTGTGAGGCTTAGGCGGTGTTCGACATTGTGTTCATCTCGTGGATGAGATCGAAACTCGTGGTTAGGGCCCGTCCACACTCTATTTTTGATCCCCTGCTTCACACTCTCCCTAAAAGGTTGAAAGCCTATTGTCTGTTTCACATTTTAATATTTTTGTTAATAAAATATTAATTATTTTACTTATATTTTTTAATTTTTAATATTTTTATCAATAAAATAATATTTTTTTATTTTAATTATTTTACTACTTTTTTTTATAAAAAATTAATATTCATTGGTTAATATTAGTTCATTGATGCATTTTTCAATATATTTATCATATAAAATGTAAAAATTAGATATTTATGATTAATTGTGTAGATCAAGGTCTTCGAACCATCATTGATCTGGATGGTTTAGGCAAGTGGTTTCATTTTACCCCAAATCTAGTTTTTGGCCAAAAGCCGTTGAAAAGGTCAATAAACCATTGACCTGGGCGGTCGAACTATCGACTCGTTCAAGGTTTTTGAGCATTTTTTTATTTTTAATTATTTATTTTTTAATTTGTTTGTCAGAGCGGGCCGTCCGTTCGAACTAGACGGTCGGACCATCGACCTGGAAACCAGTGGCCAGAATGGTTTGTTTCTGGGTCATTTTTTAAAACGTTAGTATAGATCATTTATAAATGTATATGAAATGCATGGAATAAAAAAGTGTGGTGTAGACCGATCCACACCATGCCTACAAAACACTACTGTAAATGTGCATTAATCCAATCCATAATTCATAATAACCGGGGACTGTAGTGTAGTGTGGATCATTTTTTACCATAAGGTGCGGTCATCAACACCCCATTAGTTTGTAAGGAGTACAAATACAAATATATACCGTCCAAAATATTGCATTTTGCATTAATTTGTATGTATTTGTACTCTTTCCGAATTAAGCCCGAGGGATTGGAGGCTCTATTCTTTAAAGTCGAGGGCATGCGGCGAGCAGAGCAGCCTCGGACTCGTTGAAGTCCTCTGTCCCAGGCCCAAGGCCCAAGATTTAGTGGAACGAGAAACGAGGGCCCAGGGGTTTTTTAATGCAAGGATCCTGTTCGGCTGTTCGCCGCCTGACTGACGCGAGACGCGATCGAGGGGAAGGGCGGAATTTTCTTCCCGTCAAAATCCTCTATTTTCCCTGATTCCCTCTCGTTTCTGCCGCTCCCCCTTTCGGGGATGACGAGCTGCAACCACAAGAAGGGCCGGCAAGAGCAGCACCACCGGCGTCACCCTTATCTCACATGATGTTCAGCTCCAAGAATCCTAACCCCGTCTACAGCGGCGGTGGAATCAGGTCCGTCCGTCTTTGTGTATTTGCTTTCTCCCCTCATTTGGTTTCTTATTCATTCAATTTCAAAGGTTGATTTTTGTTCAGGTCCGTCTTTGTGTCTTTCTTCTTTTTTTATTAATACAATACCAAAGTTGTTTTTTGTTTTGTTTTTATTTTTGTGGAATGATCTGCCTTGGTGGGTCGTCCTCTATTGCTGTTGAGATGGTTCCATTGGTCGTTTTCTTTATTGGTACTTCAGTTTCTTTGTTCAAGTTCGCAAATATTTCTGTTGTTATCATCCCAAATATGTCCATTTATGGTAACCTGGATTAGATGATACTCTATTGCAGTTTTGGATTATTCTTTGTGACCTCCCTTCCTGAAATCCTTTACTGCCAACAGACCAGTCGTTCATATCCCCCACGATCACCATGCTGCATGTCTGATATGCTGCACGTTCATTGAGAAATAGAAATGAAATGAGAGATGAGAAACCAATTCACCTTGAGTTTTATATGGCAAACATCTGTCTGGTATGCCCATTTCTCTTTATATGTTAGGTGATCAACCATTAATATCTTGTCAAGCACCATTTTCTATATGAAGAAGGTAAATTTGATGGGCTATTTGAAGACCAAATTCATTGCCATGAGAATAAGGCACATGGTGACAAAGTGAAATTGTTTCAAAATGATTTCCATTTTGGAGGGAACCAGTATCATTACGAATAGGTCTGATTGGTTACTAGTATTTTACCCTAGTTTTTATTTATTTATTTATTTTTATCAGTAACAGAATCAATTCATTAATGATAAAAGATAGGTACAAGGCAGGGGAGATAAACTCTCTTACTCCCCTAAAATTAAAATATAAAGATTACATGTAAGCCTAGAACAATTGATTTCTTCCCACCCCTTGTTTAGCTAGTGCATCTGCAAATGAATTAGCACACCACTTTTCCCATTGAAGCATCACTGTCATGTCTCGGGTCCACCATTCGAAGATTCTCTTCTCATTTAGGTAATTCTACATTCTGCTTTCCTCTTTCTGCAACCAATCTATTACCAGTTTTGAGTCTCCCTCTATAATTAACCTCCTTAAGTTGAGCTCCTTCGCCTTTTTGACACCTTCTAGAACAGCTAGAACTTCAGCTCAGAGAGACTCTCCTTCCCCAATTGGACCTGAGAACATAGCAATAATCTCACCCTCCTCATTCCTAAAGACCCCTCCAATGCCTGAAGGGCTAGGGTTTCCTTTGTTGCTGCTCAAAGTTTAGCTTTAAGAACCCAGGAGTTGGAACAGTTGGATGAAGAACATTTTTCTTGGGAGCTGACCAAGCCACTTCCTTCCAATTATTCAGCAAAGCTGTTGTGGATACATCTTCAAATAGCTTCAAAGATTTTACCCATTGCAGCACCCTTGTGGTGATTAGTTCAATTAGTGCCCCTTTAGACCTTTCCTTGTCGTTAAAAATTCTGTTACTCCTTTCCTCCCAAACTGTCCAACAGACTGCTGCCCTTGTACTTCTCCATAACACCTTTCCCCTCTTCTTTGTCCAACTGCCAACAACAGAGCCAAAGAGACCTTGAACATTTGGTGGGGGAGTCCATCTGCAACCATACAAAGAGAAAAACCATTCCCAAATAGAAGACACAAAAGAACAAGAAACTAATAAATGATAGCAGGACTCACCATCAGCTTTACAAAGAACACACCAATTAGGAGATAAGCACCAAAAAGGCTTCTTTCTTTGAAGGAGATCGCCAGTGTTAATCCTTCTCAAATAGGCTTCCCAACAAAAAGCCCCAATTCTAGGAGGAAAATCAGTTTACCCCAAACTTCCTTAACTGGAAATGTTTGCTCGACATTATTAGAATCTAGAGTTAAAACTTAGAAAAAGGAGGCACAAGAAAAAAGCCTAGAAGGGGAGGGAGTCCAAATACATGAATCCAACTTTGAAAGGTCCAAGCAAATGCCTTGTAATAAATGAAGAAGAGACAAAAGACTGTTTAGATCTGAGTCCCTGGTGCCCTTATAAAGCCCAAATCCCACGTAAGCTCAAAACCCTCAATGGGGGATGAGAGGAAGGTGGAAACTGGTTCATTTTTGTAATCAGATAAGGCAAAGAGAGAGGAGAAACGGTCTTTCAAAGAAAAATCCCCCACCCATAGGTGTTCCCAAAATTTTTACCAAATTTCTAGAACAAAGATTATATCGGATAAGAGGAAGGAGTGAAGGAAGGATGGCATTATAGATTTCCATGGAAAGTCACTAGTCGCTCGAGCTAATACTCCCGCATCCCAGCCTTCAACCGTCAACCCATGTATACTTACAATCACCTTGGCCCACAACCTCTCCTTTTCTATTGGTAATCTCCACAACCACTTACCTAACAAAGCCGCATTTCTTTTTTTTTTTTTGATCAATAACACTTTCATTAACATCAAAAGAAGATTTACAATAGGAAGACAAACACACTTATCTTCTTTTATGAATATTACCAATTCCTAGACCTCCAGAGTTCATACTTTTGGTTACAATATCCTAATTAACCTTGTGATCTTTTCTTTCCTCCCCGGGCTCCCACAATAAGTCCCTAATTGTCTTTTCTAGGCTCTTGGAAACCCTAACTAGAATTTTGAACATTGATAAGAAGTAAACAGGTAAATTGGCCAAGGTTGATTTGATTAAGGTTATCCTCCAACCCAAGGATAGGTAATTCCTCTTCCATGATGCTAATCTCTTTGTTACTTTGTCCACCACTGGGTTCCAAAAGTTTACATTTCTTAGATTGTCTCCCAAGGGGAGGCTCAAGTAACTCATGGGCCAATTTGATATTTCACAACCCAAGATAGCTGCACAGTTTGACATTTCCTTTTCATCCATATTCACTCTGACCACACAACTCTTTCCCTTTCATATTTCCCACCAGCTAAGATCATCTCCTTTAAAGAATAAAATTGTCATTAGCAAATTGCAAGTGTGTGACAGGCACACTATCCCTTCCCACTCTCCATCCTTTTACCAACCCTCTAGAATCTACTTTTTGGAGTGGTCTCCCTAGGACATTGGCTACCAAGGTAAAAAGAAAGGGGGAAAGAGGGTCACCCTACCTAATCCCTCTCAATGCTGGGAAGTGATCAACTATAGTTCCATTCAACAAGATTGAATAGTGACAAGTCTTCAAACATCCCCTAATCCATTTTCGCCATTTCTCCCCCAAACCAAAGTTTTCCATCACATCCTCCAAGAAAGACCAGTCCACCAAATCATAGGCCTTCTCCAAGTCAAGTTTACAGACTATACCCTTTTTTCTGTTCCTTTTGTAATCCTCAACACTCTCATTTGCTATCAAAATCTGATCGATAATTTGTCTGTCGTTAACAAAAGCTCCTTGATTTGGAGAGGCGATAGAAGGAAGCACAAATCTTATTCTTTGAGACAACACCTTAGCAATGATTTTATACAAACTATTAACCAAGCTAATGGGTCTGAAATCCTTTGGATGTTTCGCCTCTAACTTCTTTGGGACCAAAGCAGTAAATGTAGAGTTCAGTCCAGGATTTATTATCCCTCTTCTAAAGAATTTATTGAAGACCCTCAATAAATCATCTTTCAAAACAATCTTGATAGAATGCCATGGTGAAACCATTTGGCCCAGGTGCTTTGGCTCTATCCATTGAGAAAACTGCCTCCTTTATTTCTTCCAAATCAAATTCCTTCTCCAACCATGCCTTGTGTTCTTCTGTTAACCTCGGCCACTCTAGCCCCTCCAATCTCACCCTTCCCATTAAAGGTCTTCTAAAGATAGATTTAAAGTGATCCACAAAAGCTCTAGCAATTTCACTTTGTTGAGTGATTGAGACTCCATCCACCTCAAGCTTCGAAATAAAACTTTTCCTTCTTCTACCACTTGCTAAGGCTTGGAAGAATTTTGTGTTTCTATCCCCTTCCTTTACCCATTTATGCCTAGACTTTTGCCTCCAACTTATCTCTTCTTTAAACAGGATATCCTCTAGTTTTTTTCCTCAGAGACCATCTTTGCTCTTTATCATCTTCCCCAAAAGTGCCCTCCCCTTCTTTGGCGTCCAAGGTTTCAATCTGATTTATCACCTATTTGCTTTCCTCCTTTGACATGGAAATAGGCCAATGATCGGAAGTAATTCTAGGCAAAGCCTTTGACACCAAATCACCCTAATGGTCCTACCAGTCTACTGTGAATAGGAATCTATCAAGTTTTGAGCAAATTGGGTTAACCTGTAGGTTGGACCACGTGAATTTATTGTGGAGTATAGGAAACTCTTTGAGACCCATAGAATTTATGAAGTCATTGAATTTCCTCATGCTAGTGGTGACTCTTGACCTTTCTTTATTGGTTTCCTCAACAAACCTAATCACATTGAAATCCCCCCCCAATACACCATGGTCCTTCCCTTAGTCCTTTGATATCCCCAATTCATCCCACACTTCATTCCTCTCCCTATATCGGTTTGGACCATAAATGTTTGTTAGGACACACTCAAACCCATCATTCAATTGCCTAAATTTGACCGACACTGTAAACTTTCCTATCAATTCTTCCACACCTTGCAACAAATCATTTTTCCAAAGAGTCACTATTCCACCTGATGATCCCCATGATGGAGTCATAGCCTAGCTTATACCTCTCGCTTTCCAAATACTTCTTGCCCAACTATCATCAAACATATTCATAAGAAAAGAAACTATCATCAAACACTGACAATTTTGTTTCCTGGATGAGATCTATATCAGGGTTTACTTTCCTCAAAGATTCCTTAATTAAGTCTCTCTTTCTAGCACTTCCCAAGCCTCTAACATTCCAACTAACCAACTTATCTCCAATCTTTATCTCTTCTACTCCTTAGACACTTCCCTTTCCCCTACCTGTTCCCTCTCTTCCTTCCCTTCCTCTTGCGGAATTCCTTGTCTCCTTCCACATCCAGTCTCTATCTTTCAGCCTCACTCAGCCTCCGCTTTCTTATCTTGCCTTCTTCCTTTTTCCTTCCTAAATAAGTTTTCAAATCATTAGGGTCTTTAATTTTACAACCAAGCTTGCCTACAAATTCAGCCACAGAGTCCTCTTTATTGATGTCTCTAAACTCCCCTAACACTCCCACCATTTTGTCCTCCCTTGGGTTAGGTTCTAAGGTCTTAGTAGAAATTCCATTGTTTTGCAACTTCCCTTTACCTAGCTCCTCTCTTTTCAACTCCTCCAGAAAGTTCTCAATCAGTCCCCAAATTCTTTTACCCTTTTCCTCTTCAGAAATCCCTCCTGACTTCCTATTTGTCAAATTCTCTTTGTCACATAGAGTTGACGGTTGTGGGAAGGCTTGAGAATCAAGAGCAATGGCTATAGACACAGAACAGAGATTAGTATAAAAAACCGAAATCACAAGCATGCATACCTTGGAGAGGCACAGAAGGGGCAACAGTTTCCTTTCCTTTGGAGGAAGACATCGGAGTACCGATTTCCATTGAAATGGTAACTCTATGAGGGAGAGCCAATGGTTGGTATCATTAGCGACCTGCTTCCGGTACTCTGTTGCTGATCCCTCATTGGCACATCCTTGTTTAGCGTCTGATGAGTTTCCACCAGAACCTTATTCGCTTCCTATCTTTGGCTTTTGTTGGGAAGTGATTTTCTTTGATTAGGTATTAGAATTTCTTCCCAACACCCAAAATATTCTCAGCCCCCATTGAGGTCCCTACAGCTGTTGTATAGTTTGATAGATGTGTGACTTTTGCAAGCTTCTTCTACTCCAAACAACTCGGATATGTGGAACGTCTCCCCTATCTGTTCTGTTTCGGCTAGACTTTTCACGCTGCCAATCAGAGATTCTGCATCCGACTTATAGTCATCGTCTTTGGAATCTTCAACATCTAGCCACCCTTCATCCACTATGTCTCTCTTCTGAACATTCTCTGATAAACTTTGGATTCGCTCGCTCACCGAAGCTCCGAGCCCCTATTTGGTAATGTTGTTCATTCATTTATCCTACTAAAATATCTTCTCAAAAAGCAATTAAAATTATAAAATCATTATTTTTTGTGTGAGAACTAAGAATTTAGGACCCTAACATGGACTTGTTTGGGCTTGCCTTGAGGGGCATGGCACAAAGGCGGCTCGTAGAATCAGGAATGTAATATGTTTGACATTACATTAGCTACTTTAAGTAATGCAATTGAGGAAAAAAAGAGATCGCGGGTTTTACATGCTTGACAATGTTTTATATGTTTGATTTTATTTTTAATTCACATTTGAATATGCTTTACATGTTATGTTTATGTATTTTAATTTTAGATAATAGGTTTTTTAAAACATTTATTTTAAAATTTAATGTTTATATTTTTATTTATATTTTTTATTTTTGTGCATTATTTTGATTTTTTCCTTTTTTTGACATTTTAGCATTTTCTTTTTATTTTTGCACCTTGCTTCAAAAAGGCGCGCCTTGCGCCTTGGGCACAAATTGACCCCTGTGCCGTTTTTGCACATTGTCGGCCCAAGCTTCCTTTCAACCTGGCCCAAATTTGGTTTGGTTTTATTAAAAATACTTTCTTCAGTAGCTTTTTGTGGTCCCCACCCTGGGTCTGATCGAGCACCCAACTTAACTGCCTCCAAGAAGGTCCTAGGCTGCTCTTTAAACCCTTATAATTTGAAAATATTTATTTTTTTAGAACTCCTGCAGCTTGACTCCCTTTAGAATGTTCACCTTAGCAATTTTATCAAGGATTTCACTTGCCTTTGCCACCTCTCCTTTATTGCCATGTGAGAACCACCAAGCCAGCTCAGCTTCATCTTCAACCTTGGAGCATTCCAACCACAACGACACTTCAGCTTCTGTAGCTAGCCAAATTTTCTGCCATCGCCCTTCTACAAGCAAGTCGCAAGACCTTGGAATGGATTCTGGCTTAACACCGGAGATTTTGGCAGTCACCACTGCAAGATTTTCAAAGCTGAAACTTTCCAGTCTTCCCCCTACTGCTGTAGCTATCTTGGCAATACTCTCCTCGTTTCACAAGTTAAAAGGCAACCCTACCAGCTGAACTATTGCAGACAGGCCTTCTATTTTCTTCTCGTTACAGTTCATCGCCCACCTTTCAAACAGCACCAGTCCCTCCTCTGTTTCCACTGTTGCCACCTCCACTGTTTCTCCATTTATGTTAACAACCACCCTATTGTCACTGAATGGTAATAAGGCGGCTTTACTTTTGATCTGGAGCTTTCCCACCACTGCATCCAGTACTGACCTCCAGTGTTTTCTTTTTTCTTTTGCTGTAATTGTATACCTTTTCTCCCAATCCCTCTTTTCAATCTCCATTAACAACCTCAGAGATTTATCCTGGGTTGCAATCCTTTCATTCTCTAGTCCCTTGTGCTGGTCGTTGACAAAGCCCGAGGCACTTTCAGGCACTTCTAACTTCTGCTTTTTCTCCTTATTACACTGGTCTTTCATACACACCTTGCTATCTTCCTTCTCCAGACCTGTCATTTCCATATTAGCCAGGTAGTGTTGAAGTATTTCCGAAACTGCTCTCCATCCTTCTCCCTCCTTGCCCTCCGGCAGACAGACCATTTGCTTTTTGTTTCCATTGAAAAACTCTTCACTTGTTATGTATCACCCCTTCCTGTTCCATCGAAGAGTACTCTGATACCTTTTCCCTGAAACACTCAAAGAGCTTTTCCATCCTTGCTGTTTTACTGAAAAAGAAGCGCCATCAACAAAACCCTTCATCCACGACACAGCATTTTCAAGCAAAAAGATGGTGGCTTTCCTCTCCTCTCTAGGCTTTAACGACTGTCTTCCTTGACTTCTGGCTTCTTCAAGTATGAATCTTTTTGTTTCTACCTGTGTCTCTCTTCTCCATTTCGCCACGTTCGCGAGCCTACCTGTGTCTCTCTTCTCCATTTTTGTCTGATGTTATCCCTTTAACTTTTTGGCTGTGGTAGCTTGATGGGAATGGATCCCAACTCTACATCCTCTTCCACTGCTCCCACTTATTCTAGTCTATGAACTCAAGAACAATTCGTGCTTCCGGCGATGGAAACAACCTCACCCTCTTGGCATATTTTCCCCTAGTTTTGCTCTAAATTATCTTGTGGACTGCTATGCTTGTTGGTTCAGTTTGTTCTATAGTGGCTGTAGTAGAACATTCCTCTAAGAAGAGACGTAGTCTCCTTATTTTTGACATTGATGCAAAATGTACAGCATGTACAATGAGATCATACTTAAATATAAATGATCTCAGACTTTTGAAAAGAATGCTGTTCAGGAATTAGAAAGGATAAGTGAGAGCTGTAAGGGCCAGAAATGTTTTAAACAGAATGTCAAGCCTGGGAGATGCAACAGGATCCAGAAGAAGCACCAAGAGGTATACGTTTCAAAAGACTTTGAAAGGTTAAGAGGGGGTTTGTTTGGGTTAGGTCCTATCAGGAAGGTGAAGAAAACAAAGATATCTCAGAAGAAAAATAAAGAAGGCGATTGTTCAAATTCTTGGTGGAGATGAGTGATTGGAGTTTTGGGGAGTGGTTCGAGGCTGTAAGTCTGTTGGTGCTGATGTCTGGAGGGGGTCTTTTTTTTTTTTTATTTAAAATAGTTGGTAAATTTGGTTGGTAGTGTTTTTTTTTTCAGTAGAAGTTGGAGGTGTAAGTGAGTGGTGTTGGTTTGTTGTTTTCCTTTTTTTACTTTTCTTCTTTTGGGTGACTACCGGTCATTCTTCTTGTAATATTCTTTTTCATTTTAATAATATTTTTCCTTACCTGAAAAAAAAACAAGTTCTTGCAAATGGTACTAGTTACATGGGCAACTAAATTATTTCATTTTTGTTTGTAGCTTTCTTACTGGTAGCCGAAATGGAAGGTTCAGCTATGGGTATTCCAGTTTTAAGGGTAAAAGGGCATCAATGGAGGATTTCTATGAGACAAGTATATCAGAGGTCGATGGTCAGATGGTTGCATTTTTTGGTGTTTTTGATGGTATTCCTTTTCTTTTAATTTGACGCACCCTACATAGTGATTGCTTTTGGAAATTTCTATCAAGAACAAGCTGTGTAATAATAACAAAATGTAGATATCATTCTGGTTGTTTTTCTGCTAGGGGAATTGCTACCACTATTCCTATACAGTGCCTTACTTTGCTAGTATGGTCTATGTCATTTTAGTTGTTGCAATGGATTTACTAGGGATTCAGAATCTTCAATCTTTATCCTTGATTACTGTAATTCTTGTTTGCTGATTTTTCTTGGTCTGCTAACAATTTAGGTCATGGAGGTTCCAGAACTGCAGAATATCTCAAGAACAATCTCTTCAAGAATCTGAGCAGCCATCCTGATTTTATCAAAGATACAAAATCTGCTATTGGTCTGTGGATTCTTTATTTAGTGCTATTATGTTTATTGACTACCTGATTTTTTATCCTTGTTGTGCCTTGCGGATTTTTTGACATTGGGTAAATTCTTCCTTGCAGTTGAATCATTTAGGCAAACAGATATTGATTATCTCAATGAAGAAAAAGGCCATCAGAAAGACTCTGGTTCAACTGCAACAACTGCTCTACTACTGGGGGATCGGTTGCTTGTTGCAAATGTGGGAGATTCCAGAGTGGTTGCTTGTATGGCTGGTTCAGGTTGTCTGCCTTCTCCATGAAGATGACTATGACGTGAGATTGGGAAGTATTAGGGTAATATGCAGAAAATCTGCTATTATATAGATAAAAAGAAAGGATTGCAAAACCATTGCTAATTAAAGTATCTTTGAAATATGATTCAATCTTCTAGATGTCTAAGGCGAGAGCATCATGTTTTATTCCAAAGTAATGTGAAGTTTTTTTTGGATATTTTTATTCTTCTGTCTTCTTTAATGGGTTTAAGACTATAATACTATAATATTGTTGCTTATGTAGGGCCTGTTTGACAAGTCTTTTTGAGAAGATCTTCTCGTAGCTCTGACAGTCAATAGACACATTGAGCTTTTGACATAAGATCTGGGCAGCCTGAAGACGCGCATCTTTCCGTGCGTCGTTTTGGGTCTTTCCGCACGAGATTAAAATGCGGAAGACGCGGGAAGCTTCATTTGGAGCTTCCCAAAATCAGCCCAAAATGGGCTTCCCGTGTCTTTTTGGCGGCAAGATCTTCCGCGTGCCAAACAGGATTAAACCGATCTTCGGTCTTCCCGGCTTATAAGCAGCTGAAAGACCGTGCGGAAAGACGCGCCAAACAGGGCCGTATTTTATTGGATAAGCAGAAATTTGTAGGTTATGGATTTATTATCAATATATGAATCTACAACAAAGCCTATCAAAAAATTCTACAACAAAAAACTTCTCTTCACTTTTTGGGTATTAATGATAGTGTTCAACTGCAGCTGTTCCATTGTCAATTGATAATAAACCTGATAGATCTGATGAATTCCAGAACCTGATAGGTTATGGATTTATTATCAATATATGAATCTACAACAAAGCCTATCAAAAAATTCTACAACAAAAAACTTCTCTTTTCACTTTTTGGGTATTAATGGCAGTGTTCAACTGCAGCTGTTCCATTGTCAATTGATCATAAACCTGATAGATCTGATGAGCGTCAAAGGATTGAAAAAGCTGGAGGGTTCATTATATGGTCTGGTAATCTCTCTCTCTCTCTCTCTCTCTCTCTCTCTCTCTCTCTCTCTCTTTCTCTCCCCCTCTCTCCCACCCCCTCCTGAGTGTGTGATGCGTGGGCACATGTTGCCATTTGGTATATTGATATAGTTGGCGATTGTCTTCCAGGTTTCTGAATTATGTTAGTGTGCTTTGAGTTTGTTGCAGATCAAATATTATGTGATGCAAAGAATCCTACTCTAACCATGTGACTTGAATATTTCTGCTTGATCAAATTTGCTGAATCCCTCTTGATCAAGTTTCTGCATGCTGATGATGAATCAGTGCACAAATGAGTGTTTGACTATCCAATAATGCTTTGAATAAAGGGTATGGATATACAATTAGTGTGTTTTATGGTCCCTAACTCCACATAGACCAAGAGAGGAGAGGAAGTGATACAATCTGGATTGTTTCTCACAAGTATAGCTGAACTGCGTCTGGGAATCCATTAGCTTCTGATTGATTTTCAAATGGTTTCAGATTCACAAGATCAATTCACCACAGTTTTGATCAACCTTCACATGATAACATACTTATATCCATATATTGTATTCTTTTTTTCTATTAAAAGGAAAACTTGGGTAAGACAGGGATTTGATCCTAGGTCAGTTGGAGCTACATCCACTGATTTTACTAGCTGAGCCAGCTGGTGCCTTCCTATATACTTTTTTTTTTTTGGATCAATACCTTCCTACATACTTTAGCTTTTAGTTAGCATCTTCTACACTACAATCTTCTCAAGTAACTCTGAGTTTTACCAGGTACATGGCGGGTTGGTGGTATTCTTGCAGTGTCTCGTGCTTTTGGAGACAAACTACTTAAGCCATATGTGGTTGCTGAGCCAGAAATTCAGGTAGGTTTCAAACTTGTTCCTTATTCTGCAAATTCTGGACTATTTTCTTGCACACCTTGGTTCTAAGCCTTATGAAGAAGGGTTTGCATCAGGCAGGAATAAGTAACATTATCCAAGCCCATGCATGAATCTTGACTTGTTTTTGACATCACACTAAGGTATTGATATGCTCTAGGTGCAGGATGCTGTAGATGTCCCAAATAGTTAGGATAATCCTTAGGTGCCATTTGATAACGACTGAAATTGCTGATATGAATGACTTGTTGCCTTTTCCTTTGGTGGATAAAATAGTAAAATGATAAAGCATCCAAGGGTATGATAATCTACCCAACTTCAGCTTTTGCCATTAAGGAGCATATGACCTCCTTAGAAACTTATTCACTGATAGAGAAAACTATAAGTTTTCAGTTCAGCCACTTCAGCTTTTTTTTTTGTCAAATGGCTCCTTGGGTTGATTTTTTTATTTTATTTTTTGTCTCCCACTGTCTTGCTTTGTAAAGCAAAATTTGTATTAGAAGAAAGAATGTTAAGAATAGACAAAGGTCCAGCACCACAAGGCTACATGGCAGAAGGTTGGAGACAATAATATGGCTTTTTTTTGACAAAGCGGTCAATGCAAGGCGAAGAGCTAATACCATTAAAAACTGGAGAGTGAAGGGTGTTTGGTGGAACAAGAGAAAGAAATAGAGGATGTCATTGTGAAATTTTATGAGCAGTTATATAGTAAGCCATACAAAATAAGGCCAAGTCTAGATGGGTTACGATTTGAAATGCTAACTGAGCAACCGACAGCAGAGATAGAAGAACCCTTCTTGAAGGAAGAGGTGAAGCAAGCAATAAATGAGATGGAAGAGGAAAAGGCCCTAGGACCCGATGGTTTTACCATCATGTTTTACAAGAAACATTGTGATATCATCAAGCATGACTTGTTCAAAGTGTCGGGGGGATTTTCATAATTCGGTTGCCTTGGAAAGAAGCTTAAAATGCAACTTTTATCTCGCTGATCCTAAAAAAGAATTGTTCTGTAGAGATGAAGGATTTGTGGCCTATCAGCTTGATTGGAAATGTGTACAAGATTTTGGTGAAAATCTTGGCTTGAACGCTAAGGGATCATAGTTTTCAAGGCGCCAAGGTGAGGCTAGGCGATAGGGAGGCGCCTTGTCGCCTAGTTGCCTAGGCAGGCGCCTAGGTTCCATAACCATATATCTTAGGGTAGTTCCCTAGGTTCCATAACCATCTTTCCTTAATAATTATTCACAATTTTCATAAGAGAAGTATAAATTTAATGTTTAAGTCTAGAAAATCAACATTTTATGAGAATAAAAAGAACAAAGAAAGAAAATTCAAAAAATATAGGGGCTGAACCCCTACTTTTGTTATAGGAAAGAAGAAAAGAAAAGGTGGAAGAAGAAGAAGAAGATGTGGAAGAAGAAAGTGTGTTGATTAGACAAAATTTTAAGTTCTTCCCTTGCTTATTGGTTCAGGTTTTGAAATTTTTGAGGGTTCAATCAATGATCAAAGTTTCGATATGATACACCCTGTATCGGGTGTATTGTATTGTGTATCTTTGGGGTCCTGATACCTGTTTACAGGTGTTTTCGGGGACCCATTTTTTAAATAATATATATTTAAAAATGAAATTGAAAACCAAAGAAATAAAAAAAAATAGGGGGAGTATCGTCGTAAGTACCAATACACCTCTGCCAATAGAGGTGTATTGATAGTTTGAACCATGGGTTCAACACAGCAGTTAGCAATGTTTGCGTTGATTAAACCCTAACAAAATAAGAAAATAATAAAAAGAAATTAGTATATAAACACATAAAATGAATATTCTAGTTTAATAATGTCTATTTTATAATTATAATGTCAAAAAATTAAAAATATAAAAGTATTTTATAACCCAGTGCACAAAACAGCTTGGCGACTGGGCGAGGCGAGCCTCCAAGGGCACCTTGTCGCCTAGGTGCCCACCTAGGCGTCACCTTGACAACTATGTAAGGAATGTAATGGATTCAATCATTTGTCTGTACCAAGGAGCTTTCATTCATAACAAACACATACATGATAGAGTTCTTATTGCAAATGAACTCATTGACACAAGAAGGAAAAATGGGAAGAGTGGTTTGGTGTGTAAAATTGATATAGAGAAAGCCTATGATTGTGCGAACTGGGCTTTTCTAGATTATATGGTGATAAGGATGCATTTTGGACTAAAATGGAGTAACTGGATGAAAGTTTGTGTTATAAATCCACGACTCTCAGTTTTGATTAATGATCCGGTGAAAGGGAATTTCAAAATTGAGACAAGATGACCCATTATTACCATTGTTATTTCTCATCGTGGAGGGCCTTGCTAAAATGACAACAAGAGCAACTGACCTAGGAATTTTGGAGGGTTTTGATGTTAGCAACACGGTATAAAGGTTGCACTTCTACAGTTTGCAAACGACAAACTCTTTTTTGCAATGCGTCATTGGATCAGGTGCTCAACTTAATGTACTTACTATTCTGGTTTGAGGTGATTTCAGGTTTAAAAGTTAATTTGGCCAAAAGTGAAATGATAGCAGTTGGAGAAATCACTAACATGCAGGAGCTAGCTGATGTGTTGGGTTGTTAAGGTTGGAAGCCTCCCATCAAAAGACCTTTCTTTTTTCCTTTTTTGAAGAAAGACAAGGTGACCCTGATCAAGAGTGTGTTGGCAAGCCTCACGGCTTATCATATGGCCATGTACCCAATTCCTTCAGAACTGGCATAAAAAATTGAGAAAAATAAGGGATTTTATGTTAATGGGTTGGAAAGACTCACAATATCATTTGGTGACTTGGGAACAAGGTCTTCAATGTAGTTTCTTCTGCGGCCTCTTCTTTTCTTTCACAGTTTCATATTGGGGATTTGCTGAATGATCTTCACCTGATCAGGTCAAAAGGAGCAGGCGGTGGCTCCACAACAGCCAAAGAGCGGCCTTTTTGTAGGGTTGAATAAGGGTCATACTGTAACAAAGAATTGGCTCTATGCCCATCTGACAGAAAAGGAAAAACAAGTAAGAGTGTACACTTTGTGAGGAACCTGATCAGGGAAGTAGTTGGTTTGCACCTTAAGAGAAGAGAATTGCTGAACTTCTCAAAGTTGGGAAAGACAAGCGTGCCTTAAAGGTAGAGGCGTAAATCGGGCTGTGCTGGGCCGGCATGCTACGGCTTGTGGGTGGCCAGTGCTTTTGGCAGGCCGTGGGGCCGCGGGTGGCATGGTCCGCTCGGTCGTGCCATTTTGTGCCGGCCCATGGGCTTGGAAACCCAAGCCTGGCATGACCCAACCCATTGTGCCGTGCCCGACATAGCCACATGTCGCCATGTCGAGCCGCAGGGGGCACAACCCGATTTACACCTCTACTTAAAGGTGGCAAAGAAGAAGCTTGGTAGGGATCAGTCTAAAAGTTGCCCTATGGATATGGTGTTTGGAGAGGCATCTCCAAAACTTTTTCACAATATATGAAAGAAATCAGTCTAAAAGTTGGGATTGGTAACAAGGCCAAATTCTGGCTGGATCCTTACTGTGACAACAGACCACTAAAAGACATGTTTCCTATCTTGTATAATGTGGCAAAAAACAAGCAGGCCTCATTTGCAGAGTCTTACACATTGGAAGAAGACAGAATTACATGGACTGCTTTCTTTTAGAAGGAGATTCAATGATTGGGAGATGGAAATGGTGATTGAATTTCTAGCTCTACTCCAGAATCAGCAACTTAATTTGCAATCCTAATATTCTAGACACTGGAAATGGGCATAGTCAGGTGAATTTTCTGTTAAATTGCTTTACAAAGGAATAGTAGGTGATTTCAGACTGAATTTTCTAACCAAGGCTATTTGGTGATCTGCACTGCTCTGTCAAAAATGAAGTTATTTGCTTGGGTAGCACTTTGGGAAAAATATCTAACTAAAGAAATGTTGACGAAGTAGGGCTTCAACATTTCAGATTTGGTATGCCCTTTGTGCTGCAAGGAGACTGAAACTTCTAACCACTTGTTTATTTGCAGCTTCAGTGCAACCGTTTGGCACCAATTCCACAAAGCCTTAAATCTAAATTGGTGCTTCTTGAGTTTAGTGAGAGCACTTTGTGAAGAAAAACAGGTTTTGGGTATGTCCAAGAAAGGTAAATGCTGTTGGTCAGTCATCCCACTAGCAGTGCTGTGGGCTATTTGGCATGAGAGGAACAGTAGATTATTTGAACAGAAATCAGCATCCGAAGAAAGAGTGATTAATGGAGTGATTACAAAATGTATTTAAAGATGACACTTTTTCTGCTGCTTTTTTGAGAGTGAACTTTTTAGTAGGACCCTAAATGGATATACATGTAAGAACCTCTTTGTACAGGGGCCCTTTTTTTTCTTTTAATGAAATTTACCTTACCTTTTCTCTAAAAAGAAAGAACATCCACAATATAATAAATGTACACAAAATAAGGCAGCCCTGATATAAAAGAAAAGAAATTAAAAAGAACCAAGCAATAAAAGAGCACAAGGCCTTAGCCAACAAACCATCAACAGAAAAAAGCAACTAAGATTCCTAATTCATTTATTCAACATAAAGGCAACAAGAATTAGATATAATGGAAGCTGCAAAACATGGTCTTGTTTTGGATGTTGTCAGTAGAAACTTGCCACACTGAAATTTTGTTTGGGAAGGGTGGACTGGTTACATACCAAACCTTTGGCATGTTTATGTGCAAAGTGGATTCTCTTGTACTCAAACCTCCCAGAAAGCTTGAGAGTGGATTTAAAAGAGGGGAATGTGGTGGAGGTGGACATTGAGTGTTGGAAAACGTGGGGTTACTGGTGCAGATCTATATTTGGTAGTTGTGTAAAAATAGATTTGTATATATTCCTAGGATTGTGGAAGGATTGATTTAGAAAGTTTTTCTTTCTATTCTTGTACTTTCTATTTTCTTTTCTTTCTATTTTTCTACTTTCTATTTTCTTTTCTTTCTATTTATTGCAGCAGCTTACTGTATAAATAGGCCGATTGGCAATAGAATGAAATACATCAGTATTCTACCATTCCAAAACATTGAGGAGGGGGAACCCCAAAGGAAAAAAAAAAGAGGGGAGAAGAGGGTGGAGATTGAGAAGCTGGTGGAGAGAGAGATGGAAGTGGGTAAGTCACTTGGCTTGTTCTTTTTGGGAGGGGATAGGGTGGTTAGGAAAGCAATAGAGCAGTTTAATTATAAAAAAAAAGCCATAAAGCAGTTTGAAAGAAGCAGAAGGGAAGAAAAGAATAAGAAAAAAAAAACAATTAGGGAGGGAGGAGAGGAATGGGAGTAAGGAGAAGAGATGGAAAATGATTGGGTTGAAGAAGAGTGAAAGGGTTGGTAGCAGAAAGTTGCAAGGGAAAATAAGAGGAATAGATAAAAATGAGGCTGATTTCCTGGAGTGCTAGGAGGTTTTTGAAATGGTAGAAGAGCGGCATTAGTAAGGAATTGAGGAATCTATGATGGCAAGGAGTGGAAGATGGTCATTCTAGGTCGGCCATAGGCAATCTGCCATAGTTTTGGCCTTGATATTGCATGTGGCATCTCATCCTGTGGGAGAAGTTCTAGGAGATTTTGGAGGTGGTGGGGTTGCAAATCCATGAGATGGAGACTTGAAATTATATTTCTTATTGTTCTGTTTCTGTTTTTAGGTGATGACTTAGCACCTATCAAGGATGTACTTTTAGTTTCATTAATGGATTTTCTTTTTACTTATAAAAAGTGCTTATAAAAAACAAAGAAAAGTCATTTCTTTTGAATCCTGGTCTCCAACGTACCATTAGACACCTCGACCATGACCAAAATAAAGGAGAGGAGAAATGATGAACCTAGTGTGAGGCTTCCTAATTGATAAACATTGGCAGGGAGAAATCTCCAATAAATGATGCCACAACTATGATTTCTACTTAATTTTTAAATCTATCTACATTGTTATGAATGATTTACCGCACATAAAATTTGGTACTTACATGTTTATTTGCTTCCAACTTTTTGCTCATGTAAATGACTAATATAGGAATATGGTAAAAAGCTTCATTCTAACACCTTCACTTGTCAGTTTCTTCTTTTCTTCATCCTATTCTTTTGGGTAGATTACTTATCAGCTTCTTGGTGTTGCTACTTATGTTCCCATTTTAAATGCTTAGGAGGAGGAAATTGATGGTGTTGAGTTTCTGATTATTGCAAGTGATGGACTTTGGAATGTTGTATCAAATAAGGTAAGAAATAACTTGTGTAGTAGCCTCTACAAAGCGTTCTGCAGTTTAACTCCTGGTGCTATGAGAATGTTTTGATGGCAAGATTCAATTGTTTCCAAAACCTAAACTACTGTTGGACAATCTTGGGTCTGCTACTCACAAGAATGCTAATATGCTATCCATACCTACCCACAATACACTGTAGTTGCATATTGGGGACGTCTCCCATACTTGTGTTATCATTCATGGGCAATGTTCTCAATGTCTGGTTGTAGTGTCTTGTGGGTTGTAGATCTGGAGTCTTGTTGGACATGTAACAATTTTTATATTTATCTTTTGTAATAGTTTCCTTTTTTTTTTTCCTGTCATTGCTAAGATGCTTATAATGTGCTTGTTTCCTTTGCAACACTTGGTCATTCAGTTCAACTTTTGATGCAGCATGAGTGGATCTTAATGCAATCCATAGGCCCATGTCCACAAGGCTCCTTACTACTACTGTGTCAAACTTTCAAGACCTAGGGCTCTTGGTTGATGTTCACTATAGCAAGCCCAATAATGAAGATGCAAGATGGGGATATCTAAGAATGTGATAGATTATGTTTTGTACCAGGGGTGATCATGGGCTGGGCTGGGCTTTGGGCCTGTGACATTAAATTAAAACATATTATATATATATATAATGTTTTATATTATTATAACATATAATATATGTATAAAACTCATTTATATTTTATATAATATAAAATACTATATATTAATATATAGTATAAATAAAATAAAACACACATTGCAGGCTGGGCTAGAAATGATTACCCCTTTTTTGTACTATGTTATGTTATTAGGTAGCAAGTAGTTTAGTGTTTCTTGTCTCTCTATAAATTATTACTGAAGTTAGTCAAGAATAACGTTTTGAATGAAGTTTGTTTTTCTGCAACTTTCATTGAGGAATCTTCTTTCTTTTGGTGGCAACACCATTAATCTCCCTTTCCCCTTTATCTCCTTCCCTAATTTTCTTTCATTTTTGTGAAATTTCTTCAAGGTATTGCTCAAATCCCTTCTTTGATACTAGTACCATTGTAAATTCTCTTACTGCCTTTAGGACTCTTGGAAAACTAATTTGGACCATACTATGGATCATTGGTCGTGTTTTAAAAGCACAAGGCACAAAAAAGCGAAGGGGCAATTTGCGCTCGAGGCACAAGGCAAGGTGCAAAAAAAAAGCTAAAAATAAAAAGAAGGTAAAAAAATGCAAAAAATAAAAAATATTAAACATAATATTAATAAAAAACATAAACTTAAGTTTTAAAATAAATGTTTTATGAAACCTATTATCTAAAATTAAAATATACATAAACATAACATGTAAAGCGTATTCAAATGAAAATTTAAAAATAAAATCAAACATATAAAGCATTTTCAAGTATGTAAAACCCACGTTCTCCTTTTTTCCTCAATTGCATTACTTTTAGTAGCTAATGTAATGTAAAACATATTGCATCCTTGATTCTACGAGCTGCCTTAGTACTACTCCCCTCAAGGCAAGCCCAAACAAATCCATGTTAGGGTCATAAATTCTTAATTCTCACATAAAAAATAATGGTTTTATAACTTTAATTTCCTTTTAAGAAGATATTTTATTAGAATGAATGAATGAACAACATTAGCAAATAGGGGGTTCTTGGAGCTTTAGTGAGCAAGCGAAGCCCCTAGCCTAACCACTAGATTCAAAAAAAGCAAAAAAGCATAGAATTTTAAAAAGGCGTACACCTCGAAACCTTAGACCAGGCGTGCGCCTTTCAAAAAGGTTGATCATTGGATCTAGTGATTTCATGATGACCCTCTAATTCTATTTGCCATGTTCACTTTGCATAGTTTGTAGGTGTACTTTGCTCATTCCATGTGTACATTTTGCCCATTTGGTGGGCATGCTTTTATCATTCCATGAGTTCTCTTCGTTTCAACATCCACCATATCGCATTCTGTGAGCATTCATTCTACCACATCATATTCTATGAACATCCCCCATTTTTCCACATGATTCCGTTGTTTAAAATGTTCCTAAGTTTCCTGATATTTCCATTTCCATGGGTAATGACAATTTTACTAGAATCAACATATTCTTTAGTGAACACTACCAGCACCATATGGAGTACAAGTGATAGTTTCCATGATTCATTTCCATTTTCATTTTGGTTAAAGAAAGCTCTATATGGGTCTAAAGAAACCTCCAAGAGCATGGTTTGACAGGTTTAGACTTGACTTGGACCGTATGTTGATGACATTGTGGTGACTGACAATGGTACTGGTGAGGTTGGTTCTCTTAACCAGCTACTTAATATGGAATTTGAAGTGAAAGACTTAGGTCATCTATGTATTTCTTGGAAATTGAAGTGGCCCAATTTAAACAACATTAGCATTTTCATTTCTCAAAGAAAGCCAGGGCCTTTCTAGAGGAAATTGGGAATTTGGGAGTTAAACTTGCGAAGACACCTATTAAGCTAAATCATAAGATAAGTGCAAACGGAGGTGAGTCTCTTGAAGACAAAGTATACCAATGGTTGGTAGGGAAGCTCCTTTATCTTTATTTGACATGTCCTGGCATTTCCTATGTTGTCAGCATTGTTAGTCAATACATGCATTCCCCTAGGACCACCCATATGCTTGCTATTGAGAGGTTCCTTTCCTACTTGAAGAGATGCCCTAAACGAGGTATGTTTTTTAAGAATAATAGTCACATTAAGATAAAGGTGTACATTGATGCTAGTTGGAAGGAATCTTAAGTCATGGAGGAGTAAGAAACAAAATGTTGCTGCCCATTCCAAGTACTGAAGTGGAGTATAGGTCTATGGATCATAGTGTAGTTAAGGTGTTATGGCTAGGATCTTTGCTTGAAGAGTTAGGCATTGAGTTTGAAAGGCCTTTGATGTTGTAATGTGGTAAACTAAACCACCATTAATATTACCCATAATCCAATACAGCATAGTAGAACAAAACGTATTAGGTGGATTGACATTTTATTAGAGAGAGTTGCCTCTCAACAAGTGTCTGTCATATATTGTCTCTGACATGCAGCTTGCTGATCTCTTCACTAAATTAATCACTAAAGTCAAGTTATAAAAAGATGTACGCAAGTTGGGAATGGCCAATATCTATTCCCAATTTGAGGGGGAGTGTAGAGATACAATAGATTAATTATGTGGTCCAATGTTATTTATTTTTGTTGCTGTTTTACTATTATTCTTATTGTTTTTCTTTATCTTATAGGTGGTAGGGGTATTATAATTGTTGTAATTCCTTTTATTTGCTCACATACAAGTAACAACGAGTGGGGTGTCAGGATCACAAGATTCTACACCCCTTTTATAGGGTGCTCTTGCATACTTTTAAATTCTTAGCTTATTGAAATTATAATATTAAAATACATTATTAAACTAAGTTCTTCAGTTTGATTTGTGGTGATACTACAAAAAACTCTTGTTGAGATCTCTTTGATTTCATTTAAGAAAACATCAAATCTCCAAAGACCATTCTGAGAGATAATAGTGTGTAGACAACCTTGCTAATGTTGTACATCCTTACCCTTCCTTTCTGCAATAAAATTTATCTTTTTCTCAAAAAATTATTTAGTTTTGAGTTAAAATACTAGTTTTTATTATTTTTCTTATTTGTTAGGGTTCACTCAAGATGTATAATGTATTATTGAACATAGTTGTCAAGGCGACAAGGCACTCTTGGAAGCTCGCCGCGCCTAACCTCCAAGCAGTTTTGTCTGTTGTGTCATAAAATACTTTTATATTTTTAATTTTTTGAGATTATAGTTATAAAATAGACATTATTAAACTAAAATATTCATTTTAAGTATTTATATACTAATTTCTTTTTATTATTTTCCTATTTGTTAGGGTTTAATCAACACAAACATTGCTAACTTATGTATTGAACCCTCAAAGACTTCAACACCTGAATCAATAAGGAAGATCTTAAAATTTTGTCTAATCAAGCTATTCTGCCCATAGTTGTCAAGGCGACACCTAGGCGACAAGGCGCCCTTTGAGGCTCGCCTCGCCTAATCGCCTAGCAGTTTTCTACTTCCTACTATAAAATACTATTTTATTCATTCTTTTTTTAGATTATATAAAATTAAAAAATAGACATTATTAAACTAAAGTAATCATTTTGTGTGTTTATATACTAATTTCTTTTTATTATTTTCTTATTTATTTAGGGTTTAATCAACACAAACATTGCTAAATGCTGTATTGAACCCTCAAAGACTTAAAAACCTGAACCAATAAGTAAGGAAGAACTTAAAATTTTATACTACTACTACCATTACTACCAATACTTTTTATTTTCTTCTTTTCCTATAACAAAAATAAGGGTTCAGCCCCTATATTTTTTTTGAATTTTATTTTCCTTCTTCCTTTTCTTCTCACGAATATGTTGATTTTCTATACTTTAATATGAAATTTATACTTTTCTTATGAAAATCATGAATAATTATTAAAGAAATATGGTTATGGTACCTAGGGAACTACCCTAGGATCTATGTTTTTAACATAAAAAATCCATCACCTAGGTGATGCCTAGGTGCCCGCCCAGGCGACTAGGTGACAAGGCGCCCCCCAGTCGCCTAGCCTTGCCTTGGTGCCTTGAAAACTATGATTCTGCCTTTGTTCTCTCCCTGGATCAAGTATGATTTGCACTTGGGCAATCTCAATAAATTATGGGAACATGTTTGGGTTGGGGATTCTCCTTTAAAAGACCAATTTCCGGTTCTCTTTGCTATCTCTACCCTTAAGAATGAACCGGTATCCACTTTCCTTGTACCTTTTAACTCAACCTCTGGGTTTGCTTGGAACTTGGGTTTGAGAAGAGATATTAGGGACATAGAGTTCAGATTTGAGATTACTACCTTCTCATTTTAGATGTGATTTTTTCCCCATTGAAGAGTTCAGATTTGAGAAAGTTCCTTCATATCCTTTCTTGACTTTGGTCTGGTCACCATGAGTGAATACAAAGTGGTGATCATGGTAGTATGAGACCCTCTAGTTGAAGGTATATAGAGCTCTGTTGTTTGCTCATGACCTATGTACTCCAGCTTGAAGGGGAGTATTAGATGGTGTGAGAACGGGGGTAGTAGTTTCTTTCTCTCGTTTTTTTGGTAATGCTTATTGAAGTGAATTAAAAAATGGAATTAATAAACATGAGTAATGTGCTAAAAGATTTCCACCTTGTGGACTGCAACCCACGAAAAGATGCTTATTAACTATTGACAATAAGTTAAGTAGGGGTGTCAATGGACTGGTTTTGGATTGGACCCGTCCAAATCAAAACCAATTTGGATGGATTGGACAGACCAATAAGACATATTTGAATTGGACCAGTCCAGACTTAATGGTCCAAAGTATTTATTGGATTGGATTGGACCTAGTCCATCCATAATGGATTTACTTTGGATTGGATCGGTTTGAATCAATATCTGGTCCATTGAGGGAATATAAGAATACATGTGTCAATGGACCAGGTTTGGGTTGGAACCAATCCTATTATTAACCGATTTGTACAGATTGGAAGGTCTAGATATTGAATTGGACCGGTCCAAAATGGTCCCAAGTATTCATCGGATTGGATTGGATCTGGTCCATCTGTAATGGATTTATTTTGGATTTGGGTTGTTTGAACCAATATCTGGTCCATTGATAGAAGATAAGAATACAGGTGTCAATGGACCAGGTTTGGGTTGGAACCAATCCAATTATAACCAATTTGGACAGATTGGACGGTCTAGACATTGGATTGGACTGGTCCAAAATGGTCCAAAATACTCATCGGATTGGATTGGATCTGGTCCATCTGTAATGGATATATTGGACAGGATGGGAATATCGGGTTGGACCAAATCCAGTCCAATTGACACCCCTATTTTGTTAAGCAGGGGTGCCATGGAGAATGTCAATTATGGCCTATTTCTTAGTTGTGGAGACTACAAGCCATCTTTTTCTACACTCCCCAATCACTTCAGAAGTATGGTACATAATTCTAGAGACATTCATGTGGAAGAGCTGTTTTGCTGGAACATGCATCTTTTTTCTATTGAGTTGGCAGATTGGAGGGCTCAGCAAGAAAGGGAAAAGAGTTTCCCTAACAGGGATTTCATCAAGGACCAATATGACATATTTCTTAAGGGTATTGGAGCAAGTATTTCTTTTCAGATTCTTTTAACTTGCGTTTGCTTTAATTTGGCTGGGGGATGGGATAACAGTCAATTATTTTTTGGGGGGATGGGATAACAGTCGATGTGCTGATGAATTAATTTGGCTGGGGGTATGGAAGTTCTTTGTCTATAGAGAAGTCACTTGAAGGAAGTTGCACATTTAGAAAGGTCCATATGTTGTGTCTTGTTCATTGAGTTACACATGTTGGGTTTCTGGATTGTGAAGTTTGATTGCGAATTTGTTAATGATGTAGGCTAGAGAGGCTAAGATCTGTAACTGTAACCTCCTATTGGAGTACAAATAATATAAATATATATTTAATGGACATTGAGTTGACATTTGACATTTGAGTTATTGACACTGTTGACTCTTTTCTCGGGACTCAACATGTTCCAGAGGCCATATTACAGTCTAGGAGTTCAGTTATGACTTATCTTATTGGAGTAAATAATATTTGTCTCTTAGCGTATGTATCATTTTATAGGCATTTATTTGAGATTGAGTTGGCATTTCAGATATTGCATCTGCTTTCCTTTCTGAATGTTGAATGTAATTGAAGTAAAGAAGAATCTTGTTTTTCAATTTTATTTAATTTTGATTTTGTTAAATCTTTGGTTTCTTTGTTCATGGATTCTAAAACTATATGCTGCATAAAAGACTTTTTGAATCTAAGCTTCTTACATTACCATATTTTCTGCATACAGGATGCTGTGGCCATAGTACAAGGCATATCAGATGCTGAAGTAGCATCAAGAAAACTCATAGAAGAAGCCTATGCCCGAGGGAGCTCTGACAATATCACCTGTGTTGTAGTTCGATTTCATGATTTGTAAGTAAGATTACAGATTCCCCTCCCCTAATTTTTCCTGGTTTCACATAAGATGAATTTTACATCAACATAATATGGAATTTTTCTTTTCATTGGAAGTACCCTTTTTTGCCAATTCTCAGGTTTTAAGGATTTCCGTAAGGGTCTGAGCAAGAAGAGGACTTCCAGTTAACACATATTTGCCATTCATTTGACCCTACAACATGGTTGCCAATGAAAATGAATGCTCAACAATTGATATTTCAAGTTGCTAGTTCTGCTTCCTTCCACTGATTATTAATAATGCAGCATTAATGTATTTTTCAGATTATCCATTCCTGCCTTTGTTGAAATGGGAATCGGAAAGGTTTGATATCTGCATCCCGTCAAAGCAGGCAATGTTGAGTGGGTGTAAATGTATTTGACGTCAAGTAGGCCGGAATTACCCCTTTATTATGTTTGGTCTTGTTATATTATTCTCTACCAAAAAAATAATAAAAAATCTGGTTATGGTATTCAAAATTAAGCAAATGATATCATGTGACAAAGGTTCTTTTTGAGGTCAGGTGAAGAGGTTCTTTTGGTGTTTTCCATACTTTAATGTTTAATCGTTGTGCTTACATGGAGTTCTAACTGGAGATTATAGGGGTGTTTTATAGAGTGGAGGATAAATTGGGTGGAGTTTTTTCATTCATACCATGCCTTAGCCGAAGAGTTGTTTTTAAGGCTGCAACTTAGGCCGGGTTGGCTCAAACCCAACCCATATTATAAATATATGTTTTATATGATATATCATACATTGATTTGTTTAGATGCATGGTAGTTGTATAGCCTCCACCACATATTATCATTTATTTCTTTTAAGATAATCATTTCACTTAATTCTAATTGGAAATACTAAAAGTCTAAAACCTTAATAACATATTTTATGTTTTTTGAATATTTCATTCATTAGCTCATAAAAAATCTATTACAAGTCATAACTCATAATAAAATTAGTCATTTTAAACACTTTTTTCTGAATTTTTTTTGTACTTAAAAACCAATAAAAACATCAACAAACAAATACTAATAAAATGTAGGATTAATATATGTAGTGAAAGTTGAATTAAGATTTGAGATTAAGAAGTTTTATGAGATTTTAAGGGATGGGAAGAAGGTTGGGTTGGGCACACCCGAGTCCAGCCCAACCCGAAGTTGACTTCGGATTGGGTTGGGGTAGGTTAGGGTTGAAGGAATTTAGTTAGAGTTAGGGTTAGGGTTGAGGGTTTAAAACTTAGGGTTGGGTTAGGGTTGGCCTCAACCCAACCTAACCCTGCCTGACTTGCAGCCCTAGTTGTTTTGCACTTCACACAAAATGGATGGACTGAACCACACAACACCCGCATAGGTGTTCTACAAGGTCTGGTGTAGTTCAGTTCACACCGTGTTTTTGATTCATCCCATTTCACATATAATTTAAAAATACAATATTTTAAGCAATATAAATAATTTAAAAAATACAATTGAACCATGACTAATACAAAATAATATTATCTGTACTAATTAATAAAAATCATAAGAGAAATTCATGAAAATTAAAAATACTTGTAAAACATTAAAATTCTTAATTTTAAAGCTAATTATCAATGGTAAGTTAATAAAAATTATTGGAGCAATTAAAAATATTAGTAATTATAAAAATTAAGTCTTATTCAAGGTTTAAAGTATTAGCCCGTATCGGCCGATATGTATCATGCCAAGGGTATTCGGGACTTAAATCGACCCCTCTGAACCAGTTTTAAAAAAAAATAAATAAAACAAAAAAAACACCGATGCATGCTGATACGCGATGTCGATACTTTGAACCTTGGTCTTATGTATAAAACCAATTAATAAAAATTAAGGTAACATAACAAAGGAATAAGGAGATCAATACATCCTAATGAAACAAACGAAGGAATAATGAAGAAAATAATAGAGCTTGAATGTTTGTAACCTTGAAAAGGTGAATAGAACCTAGAACACTTGGCTTGGCTAAGATGTTGAGCTTGAACGCAGGTTATCTTGCAGCGGTGAAGCATTAAACTTGAATACTGGTTATTCTTGCAGCAGTGAAGACGATTAACTAGCAGTGGCGAAAGAATGATAGCAACGACATGTGCTCCCACTTGGCCACTGGTGGTACTCTCCAATAGTATAAAGTAGGGTAAAATGAGAATCATAAAATCACTTTTACCGCTGTTGCAAGGATCAATCCACAAGTTTTTTGCCGCAGATGATATAATGCAATATAGTGTGGATGAATCCGTGATATAATGTGGATTGATCTAACCAAATACCAATTATTTCGTGGATCAAAACAGCATGCGCCACGGGATAATCACTTCCAACACCACCTATATTATGCAAACTTAGTGTGTTTTAAGTGTAGAATATGGAATGAGGCAAAAAAAGAAGTGTAGAATATTGCAGCAAAGTTCAGACCCTACCTCCCACATGCTCGTTTGAAACCCCACTTGCTGCATTGTGCGAACAATATTTGAAGGCCTTAGTCAACTTTAATTATCCCTCAAAAAAGCAAAGTATTCTTAAAGTGTTTCCATTAAAGAATAGAAAGGTGGGGGAAAGAATAGTATCCAGGTTGATAAGGAATTCTCCAGTTGTGAAAAGAAGTCCTAGATAAGATTGATAGAATGGAAGTCCCTCTTTGGAGAATCTCGAATCACTCCTATCCCTCCATGGAATTCTCTGATATTGGCCCTGTATCATTATGTATCAGATTTTGTAAGCTCCCTAAATTTTGTTTTTTATGGTCTTAATTATCGTGATAAATTCAGCAATGCCTGCAATATTTAAATTAAATTTCAAATCAAATCAAACTTTTAAACTTCAGTTGATCACAAAACATATAATAATGTTCTGTTTGCAAAACCAAGTATAATTTTTAGGAGGTTTGAATTTGAATTTTTATTACATATCTATGAATATGATAATTTTTTCACCCTGTCCATGAGCATCCAAAGTATATCCAGATGCATCTCTTAAAATTCCCTCTTCAATACTTTTGCATTTCTGATATTTTAAACCTTGTAACCAGTGAACCAACTATACAGCATATTTTGCTTTTATGGTTATAACGGAACACAAAGTTACGACTCTAAAAGGTTACATATAAATTTCAAAGTTCTGAAAAAAATAAACTAGTTTTCTCCCCCCCCACCCACCACCCCAATTTTTAGGGAATGGACCTGTTTAAGTTTTTTCCAGTCCAAGCAGCCAATCTGGTCGACTTCTCTGTACTTGGGTATTTTTTTACTCAGAAAATTGGAAAGTTGATGGTTTTTCAGGTAGACCCCCACCCTCCAGGAACGTATAAATTCATGGTAGCCCGCATCTCATTTTTTGTAGATTCCATCACTTCAACCTACAAATTCGCATTCACTTCACCTGCATATCTGCTTCCACATTCATCTCAGTTTTTGCTGGATCCCGTCACTTCACCTACGTCTGCGAAACCCATCTGGACTGGTCCCATGGGGAAAAGATATGAAAACCAGGGCGAGGTGGGAATGGGATTGATTGGAAATGAAAATTCTTGCATCGTTTTCATGTCAAAAAATGGGGCGTACATTCCAATTGAACAAAGTTCCACGGTGCATCATGCACTTTATACATCCTACATCGTTATAGCGATCACGTCAGGCAAGTGGACAACCATAATTTATTCTATCAGCTGCAAATCTGCAATTTTGAGTACTACAATAGCAAACATTAGAAGCAACTAAGCTTCAAGCCTTCAAGTCTTAAAATAAGATCATGTCCAGGTATTTTATCCTATCAGCTGCAATTTTATGAATTCTACAAGTATCAAATCGTCTCATGTTGCTAATATCAAATCGGTGCGACCAATCTTCAACGTTCAGAACTGACCTATCAAATGGTCCGCACAATCCCATAAATAAAGGTATTGCCTACAAATTACACAATAAACATAAAATCCATCCCCCTACATTTAAATGTTATATCATCATTTGACTGCACTGCATTAAGACCAACTTAGATAGCCCGATGGTGGTTCTTCTCATTTAACTCCAATAAAGTCATCAGTCATCAGGACATACAAAGGTCTTACAGTTCTTTCAAACATCAGTATCACATTAACGGCAGTCTCCCAAACGAAAGGCAAGGATTGAGGCTTCAAGGGTCCCCAAGGAAATTTTGGAATGGATAGACTGGTATCCACGCAATTTCAGAAACATGGCAGTTATGGGCACTTCCGTTGAATGTATGAAACCCCGTGCTCCTCATACCTGGAACAAAGAGGGAATGAAGAAAGATGACCAACATGTTTTTCAAACCCGAAAGGGTGATGACCAAGTCAGTGCACTAATCAGTAAAGCCAATCAGTAGGCTCATCCCATCAATCCAGTATATATCAGCTTATGATTATGAATAAGCACAGACAAAAAGATCGAAGTTCACTTCTGTATCTGGTTCAATCAAAGAACAAACCAGATCGATCAGCTCTGTGGCTCAACCAGACTCAAAATGCATATCAGATAGGCCTGGTTTTGGGATTAACTGGGTAGTCACCAGTCAGATCTGCCTAGAAAGATTCTTGCAAGAAAACCTGCTAAATGGAGGTAATGCAAATAGAAAATGCAAAAGAAGTACAAAAAAGAATGGCAGAAACCCAAGGACAAGGTAGGAATTGGTCAAACTCACTCTGCCTTTGAGAACCACATTTGTTGGAAGGAACCAAGAGATGCCAGAATACTCCCACCTATCCAAACACTGCATAAATACCGTACAATAGCAACTTAGACCAAGAGAAATTCAAACCATAACCATTATTTCTAAAATAAAAATAATATATGCAACCCATTACAACAGTAGAAAGAACTGGCTACTAGGGAAAATAAAAGGAATTTTCTTGTGTAGTTTATGTGAGTAGCTGATGTCTAGGCATTTTGACCTGTCAAGGGAAGCCATGCCTAAGTGACATCTAAATATTTTCTAGGAGACAAAAATTAATAAATAGTTATATGCATAATTTGCAATCAATGTTACTATACATAAGTATCATGTTAATTATAAATTATTTTTTATAAGTTAATTATAAATTATTAAACAACAAATTTAATCACTAAATGATCACATGGAAATTTAAACATGATTTTCAGAAGACAGACATACGGAGATCAAAATCCCTAATTTTAGATCTATATGCACTCCTGCCAACTGAAAATATATGATGGGGGTTCATTCATTCATATAGGGCTAACTCATTCATATCAGCATACGAAGGGGGCATAATTGATCATTTGTTCCACTACGATGTATATATTTATATTAGCTGTATCATTGGTCATCTAGGCATAGGCGATAGGCTTCCAAAATGCCTAGGCAGTTGCTTCATTGATGCCTGGTAGATTCTATAACTGAACTGTTTTGTCATTACTTTGACAATTAGGGGATTTGCCAAATGACATAATTGGCAAAAGTGACTGGGTCACAGCCCAGTGCATCCTCTTCATGCTGAGATAAGTAGGCCATCTTTGCTGCTTCTATTTAAGTTACTTTACTTTTTCTTTTACCATCACCTATAAGAATTGCTTGTATTGTCTTAAGAGGTTCTTTTACAAACATTTGATCCACTATATGGGGATAATGCTAACAAATAGATTTGAATTTTCAAGGGAAAAAGTAACACTGATAATGGTGGTGATCATCCTGATTATGCTAATTGTTCACCAAGGAAATAAATACCCTGCATCTAACCATGTTGAGAAACCACAATTATGGATGGTTAGGTAGCCTAGGAAATTGGTTCAGTATTATGATTAATTGATTATGAATGGTGTGAACCCAAAGGACAGGCCAAATGACAGTGGACGGACCATTTTTTATGGCACAAGTAGAAGCGCAGAATTGTCATTTTTTTATCAACCAAAAATAAGTTTTATTTTATTAAGTAGTAAAAGTGGTGCTTAGTACAAGATGAACACAGAAATGTCAAACCCTTTCCTCAAGCCCAAGTTACATTGAAGCCCAAAACAAATGTTGTCTTGTAACTCTTTGTTTAGCTAGGGGAGTCAGCAAACCATTAGCAATCCTAATCCACTTAAATTCTGCCCTTGTGTCCTTTTTAACCTGTTCCATTTCCCTTATTACATATCTAAGAGTCCGCCTGTTTGCATTTGCCCAAGATATAACTACATTTGAATCCCGTTCCACCTCAATCCACAGCAGAGTTATTCTTTTCTAATAAAAGATTTAAATTCATACAAGCTGGAGCAAATATAAACTCGTAGAAAAGTTTAAGCATCAAGGTCCCAGTGAGGGAGAGGGAGGGAGGAACCTAACGCAGGGGAGGTTTGTCTTTGATAGTCTTATTTAAGAGTGATGGAGATCAATTCCATAGGCTTGTTATATCAAGCCTACCATCAAGGCCCACTTCCCTTGGCATGGTAAATAGCCACAATAAAACTAGGTATGCCTTTAGCTACAGAGGTTTTAACAAACAACACAAATTAATAGCCACTGTAAAGAAATAACTGGTTCACATGTATTCTAGTAGTAAGAAGCATGCTGATAATTTAACAATGGATATGGAGAATTCACTTTGGACGAAGGATCCAACCTCCTTCAAAAAGTGAAGAAAAGCCCATAAGCACTTAACAGCATCACCTAGCCTGTGAATCAGCCGGCCAGTACCTTAGTGTCCCCTTCCATACCTAATCTGTGAATCAACTGGCCGGGGTATCTCATTCTATTTAACTATGAATCAGCAATGGCATTGCCCCTGATCATTTTCTTGAAATAACTGTTTGGTAGAAACATATGCTGATTGGGTATCTATATTGCTTTAAATTTATTTATTTTTTAAATAAGATTGTATTAATAAAAGGAAAGACACATGAGGAGATGTACAGGCTACAAGCCTACAACAAAAGCAGCAAAAAGAAATTACAAAGGCATACTTCTTTCACTATACAAATTTTCCCTTAAGGAACCCGATTTAGCCAAAACATCAGCTGTATTATTTAGTTTTCTGGGAATCCAGATTAAAATTACAGACAAGGTGTTCATAATGTCTCTGGCCTCGGACTGGTAATAAGCTAGTCTCCAAAGGCCTCCCTCCTTCCCCCCTAACCATTTTATTGGGTTTGCAGTCTCCTTTTACAGTTAGAACATATTTTCTTTAGCAAATTGAAGACCTGTGAGAACAGCCAAGGGTTCTGCTTTTGTTGAATCAACAATCCCAATTGGGCCACTAAAAGCCCATTTTATGCTTTTGTGCCAGAGTTGCCCAGCGCACTGCCATCAAAATTTAGAGTCAACTCTGATACCAAACTTACAGGAATAGCCCAGCGCATGAGTTTCCAACCATGACCAAAATAGTTACTACCCCTTCACTTTTTCTCCACAGTTAACATGTAAGGCATTTGCTCTCCTCTATATCTCTGTAAGTTTCAACATAACAGTGGCTTCATAAAGGGCAGGCCAGTGCATGAGGCTCCCATCAATGCAGGATCATGGCGAGGGACAGATGTACACAGCCTTATCCCTGCAGATACACAGAGAAACTGTTTCCAAGATTTGAACCCTGGCGACCCAGGTCACATCTCACATGGAACAAACCAAACATTGTGCCAAGGCCCACCCTCATAATAATAGGGGCTTCATTCTTCATTTAGTTGTTTTTTTTTCCATTTTTTTATTTGTCACCCCCATCCCTTTTGCATCTCCCTCATATATTAACAAAGTGGGGCTCCACCACCTGGTTTTCTCAATAGGTTATGTAACCTTGTGGTCACTCTACATTTAACATTTTGATTTTCTCATGCCAGATCACCTTTAGACTATTTTTGGCTTGATAGAAAATAAGCGAGATAAAGAAAGTTGAGGGAAAATTATTAGGAGTTACACAAAATTTATTAAGAACTTGCCATGAATTTTCTGTTTCTCTTTTATTTTCTATCAAACCAAACACAGCCTTAGTGTTTGATTTTCTCAATTCTCATTCTGCATTAGTTTTCTCTAATATTACCTCAATCCTACATGATGCTTATGTGGGTGCATGATTACTTATGATTAATGCATATTTACCAGTCAACTGAGAATTATCACATATATTAAAAACACATTGTAAAGATGGGAAGGGGAAGTAGAAAAACAAAAAATGTTTAACAGTCCAGAAAGTAATCCAACCTGAATCGCCTTTCAGTTGTATTACCACTTGCCAAAACTTTAACTCTAGCAGCTTGAGGAGACTCCTGCAAACCAATGATTAAAGGAAAATCAAGATGGCATTTGTGGGAACTAAAAAGGTCATACTGAAACTCAATAACCTTAGATGGAATACAACTAATAATAAATATGGTGGTATGCATAGTTTTTCCCCAAAAGTTTGTTGGAAGAAAGCCACTCATTATTAGTCCTCAGGCAAGCTCAAGAATGTCTATTTTATCTTTTGTAGTGTATAGGGGTACGTGCGTTGGTGTAAAATCCATGTCCAGTGATGTAGGAGGTAAGATGCTTGTCAAAATATTCACGGGCATTGTTGAACAAAAAATCTATTATTTTCATATCAATGGTTAGCAGTATCACCTCCTCTCTGGACTACATCAAATATATCCAGGAATAATAGGATAAGTCAACCACAAACAATAATAAAAAACACCAATAGTAGGAATTGGTAAGGTCCCCACACATCAGTATAAACAAGACGGGAAACATTACAACTTTTTATTACTTATTGAAGGGAAGTCTGATGAACAATACCTAACAAGTTGACACACTTTGTTAACAGCGTTAACAGCTGTTATTTTTTCCTATGTATAGTACCGCAGGGGTGCTATTGTACTTTTACTCCATTTTATTTTAGTTGCTGTCGCCCTAGTATATATATTAAAAAAGCTGTGCCGCCAGTAGTATCTTTTTGCTCTCAGTTCTCTCTTCTCTCTTCTTCTCTCTCTTTTCTCTTTTCTTCCATTCTTCTCTCCTGCATAACATGGTATCGGAGCGGGACTATCAGATCTGAAAGGAGAAGTTGAGTGAACAGTTTTTTTTCTTCTTCGCACCAGATTTCCAGATCTGCCGCCCTCATCTGCTGTTCGGCTGATTGAAGATCTCACACACTGAAGTAACTTTTCTCTCTCTYTCTYWYCYTTTTTTTTCTGGTCGTGTGCCAGGGCAGAACCTGTACTAGGTCTGCCGATTGGATGTGAGGTGATCAGCACCTCTTTCTTTCCTTTTTTGTGGGGTCAAATGTAAATCAGTCCTCTAAAATCAAGATTAAATTTAGTGATTAGCAGAATAGAACAGGTCTTTTGGGGATATTCATCAAAGTTCTTGTTCCTACACTCCACAACAAAACGGGGTGGTGGAAAGAAAGAACAAACATGTGGTTGAGGTTGCCAGATCCCTTTTATTTGCATTCCATGTTCCTATAAAGTTTTGGGGAGATGCTGTTCTTACTGCTACCTTTCTGATCAACCGTATGCCCTCCCGGGTCCTTGGCTTTAAAACCCCTTTTAGTCTTCTCTTGCCGGATGAGGATCTCTTTTCTCTTCCTCTCCGTGTGTTTGGGTGTACTTGCTATGTGCATATTCATAGTCACCAAAGGCACAAGTTTGAACCCAAGGCTCATAAGTGCGTGTTTTTGGGATATGCTTCCACACAGAAGGGTTATTGCTGTTTTGATCCKGTTCGTGGCACCCGCTTTGTATCTCGGGATGTCACCTTTGCAGAGTTGACTCCCTTCTTYAGTATTCCTCCTGAGGGGGAGAAATCTGATGAGTACTTTGCTATGTCTCCAGCTGTTCCGCTTCCCATTCCTTGTGAGTCCGATCATGGGGTGTCCACCTCTTCCACTGGACTTACCCCTGATGTCCCTGCTCCCCCTCTTGCTTCTTCTCCTGCTCTCCAAAGGAGGTACCAAAGGCGGAGATTTAGACATGTGCAGGTTGTTTCCACTCCTTCAAAAGAGCATCTTGCCACTCCCATCATTCTTGAGGAAATAGGTCAGCCCTCTACTAACCCATCTCTGATTGTTCCAGACCTTGACCTTCCTATTGCTCTTCGCAAGGGCAAGCGGAAGTGTACAGCCCATTGTATATCCAAACACTTATCTTACAACCTTCTCTCCCCTTCCTACTACTCTTTTCTTGCCTCTGTTTCTTCCCATGTAATACCCAGGTATGTACCGGAAGCTTTATCTCAAGCTCAATGGAGGGATGCTATGATGACCGAACTTGATGCACTGCATAAGAATCATACCTGGGACATTGTGGACTTGCTAGAAGGAAAGGAACCAGTGGGTTGTAAATGGGTGTTTACTATTAAATATCACTCTGATGGCTCTGATACCATGTAAAGAGACTGGGCCGAAGCAAGATAGTTCGTCCCATCTAGCTTAATTGTGGTAACACCCATCAAAACGGAATCTACCGGAGCAGGTCCAGAAGTTGGCACCTGCTTGAACTCACTTCCGTATGTCTCCATTAATCAAACGAAAATCAAAGAGCAAAAAATTTTGACTATGTAAACTTACTTGAAGTCAAACCAGAACTTGGGTGCTTGAAAAACTAGGGTTTTGCTCCGTCTAGCAGATGGGCGGGAGAGAGAAGACACTGCCTCACCTACCAGAGTAACCCAAACTCTTCCAAACCTTAACTGCCCTCCTTTAGCAGTCACAAGACACCTTCCAAGCACAGAGCGCCACACCCAAGCTTCACCTTTCCTGGTAACTTGAAAATCTCCAGTCGGCTAGGGTTTTGGGCAGCAGCAAAACAACATCACTTCTTGGCAAAATCTGGCCAGAACTAAACTCTCCAAACCCTTCTACCAACTAGGCAAGCAATTCTCAATACTATAGAGAACCTATCTCTCCATACACTCTCTTGATTTTAGAGTGTATAGGAACAAAGAAAAAAGAAGAAAGAGGAACTGAACCCGCTCTGATACCAAGATGTAAATCAGTCCTCTAAAATCAAGATTAAATTTAGTGATTAGCAAATAGAGCAGATCTGAATACTGTATAAGAGAGGAAGATGGCGAAGAGAAGAGGTAAGAGAAGAAGAAGTCGAATTAATCACCCTTCTCCTCTAACCCTAATTTTTATTAATCTCTAAAAAATTGATGATGACAAGTATACCCTTAAGTGGGCGGCCAACATGGCAGTTACATAAAGAAAGTAAAATAAGAACAAATAACATGCCCATTAAGTGAGGCCCTTCAACATAAAATAAAAGATAAAACAAAGGATATCACATGAGAGGCTTTTAGGGCCCATTCGGCCCAGTCTCTTTACAGGGTCGACTGATCCCTGTGAAACTGTAGGTCGTGAGGACCTTTTTGTGTGCTGCAACAACAACTTTTATAAACTGTGGGTCAGAAAGTGACCAGTACCTCTTGTGTGCTGCAACAGCAGCTTTTATGGTGAACTGAAGGTCAAAAAGTGACCAGTACTTGTTGTAACAGCAGTCCTGTTGATGCGTAGGTCAAGAGATGACCTGTATGCACTGTGGCAACACTTGTGTTGAACTTGTAAGTCAACGGATGACCTGTTAGTGCTGTAACAGCACTTGTGTTTTTCCAAAAGAAGGTGTGTTTCTGAAGAATTTTTTTTATTTTCCTTTGTTCCCCCTCAGTGTTGAATTTCTTTAAGGTTGTGTACCCCATTTAAGAGTTGTTTTTGACTTTGAAATCATGAGTGGTGAAGATTCTGCTACATCCGGTGTTTCCTCAATGCTGAATGGAATGAGTGGGGGTGTGGACCTATCCTTTCCCATGGCYGTTDTYCCTCTTGATGGTTTAARTTATTTAGAGTGGTCAAGAGGGATCAAGCTGTACATCACTAC